CTATAGCAGCATAACTAAGGGAAGGCTCAAACAGGAACGTCTTAAGTCTAATCTTAAAGGTAGAGAGGGTGTCCGCCTCCTGAACTGAGACTGGGAGTTGGTTCCATAGGAGAGGAGCTTGATAGTTAAAGGCTCTGCCTCCCATTCTGCTTCTGTGGACTCTAGGAACCACAAGTAAACTTGCACTCTGAGAGCGAAGTGCTCTGTTAGGATGATAAGGCTCTACGAGGTCTTTAAGATATGATGGAGCCTTGTCATTAAGGGCTTTGTATGTTAGGAGAAGGATTTTAAATTCTATTCTGAATTTTACAGGGAGCCAGTGGAGAGAAGCTAATATGGGAGAGATATGATCTCTCTTGCTAGTTCCTGTCAGTACTCTGGCTGCAGCATTTTGGATTAACTGGAGGCTTTTTAGGGAATTATTGGGACATCCTGATAGATAGAAAGTGAGGGTAATTGGAGTTTTGTCTGACCAAGTCTATTCCTGAGTGGTTCTAAACAAGGATGTGCGCTTTCATCCTTATTATTTATCCTTTATGCAAATATGTGTCAAAAAGCAGGTACAATAACAGGGACATTTTAAAGTGTGCAGATGACACTGTGATTGTTAGCCTGCTTCAGGATAATGAGACTAGTCATGACCTAGTCATCATTGATTTTGTGTGAGTGGTGTGAGGAATCCTGTCTTCTGATAAACATATCTAAGACTAAAGACATGGTGACTGATATCAGAAGGCAGGCCAACACACAATGTCACATCCATTAAGGGTCAGATAGTGGAATGTGTACAGTCATACAAATATTTAGGAGCAATAATTGACACAAAATTGAAATTCGAGGCAAACTGTGAGGCTGTGTGCAAAAAAGGGGCAGCAGTGCTCGTCATGCTTTCAGAAACTGTCCCGTTTTTATATCAACTAAACTATGATGATTTATAGAATCAGTTTAATCTTTTTCTTTAGTGTCATGGTTTGGTTTCTTCTTTGAAAAGCAGAAATTCTCTGAACCATATTGTCAGGTGGGCTAGTAAGTTGATTGACGAGCCACAAGGATAAGGATAATCACCTTTATTGGCCAAGTATGTTACACACAAGGAATTTGTTTCCAGTACAGAACTGAGGCAGCCATCTGTGGCACCACCTCAACTGATAGCTCTAACCATAGGTGGCAACGGGGGGGTTCAGTGTCTTGCCCAAGGACACTTCAACACGTGGACTGCTGGCACTGAGATTCCAACGTTCAACCTTCTGGTTGGGAGACGACTGCTCTACCTACCACACCACTGTCGCCTCCCCAACCTGACAACACTGTATACTAGGCAAGTACACTGGGCATCTGGCTGTGATGACACACACCCGTCTACAGCAAGTTTTAGCTTCTCCACTCTGGATGACGTTTTGTAGGCCCAGCGTAGAACAAACCATTATAGAAATAGTCTTGTCCCAACAGCTATTATTAGCATGAATAAGTCATAGGGCTGATGCAAATAACATAGATTGTTATGTCTCCTTATTTCCATAGTGCTGAGGTGATTATGGAGCACTATGCACTTTTGTATTTTGCTGTATGATGATGATGCTGTTGTATTTGTCTGTATGTGTGTTACCATGGCTGTCTCTCTTGTACTACAAGCTAAATTTACCCACAGGTATAAATAAAGTAACTTGACATGACTAGACAATGTTAAACATACATGTCAAATGTCAAATACTGTTTTACCATTATGATTAATCAATAATAATTATAATTAAATGATGAATCTATAAAGCCTTGTTAAATTATGTATTAACTATTAATAAACTCTGTAAAATGGTCTAATCAGAATGTGGTATCAGTAATGATACGTATCTTACGGAAATTTGGATCCTCAGCCCTTTGAGACAAATGTACATGAGAGGCCCAAACTGGGGCTTGGCAAACAAGTACATACTATGTGTGCGTACATGCATTCTGTGTGTGAATGGAAATGAAAGAGAGAAAGAGT